GACAGACAGACAGACAGACAGACAGACAGACAGACAGACAGACAGACAGACAGACAGACAGACAGACAGACAGACAGACAGACAGACAGACAGACAGACAGACAGACAGACAGACAGACGGGCGGGCAGGCAGGCAGGCAGACAGGCAGAAAAACAGGCAGACAAGCAGACAGACAGGCAGGCAGACGGGGGGGGCAGGCAGACAGGCAGACGGGCGGGCAGGCAGGCAGACGGGTGGGCAGACAGACAGGCAGACAGACGGGTGGGCAGACAGACGAGCGGGCAGACAGACAGACAGGCAGGCAGAGTGACAGACAGACAGGCAGACAGACAGACGGGCGGGCAGACAGACGGGCGGGCAGACAGACAGACAGACGGACAGACAGAAAAGCAGACAGGCAGGCAGGCAGGAAGGCAGACAGGCAGACAGACAGGCAGGCAGAGTGACAGACAGACAGGCAGACAGACAGACGGGCGGGCAGACAGACGGGCGGGCAGACAGACAGGCAGACAGACGGACAGGCAGACAGACAGACGGACGGACAGACGGACGGACAGACAGAAAAGCAGACAGGCAGGCAGGAAGGCAGACAGGCAGGCAGGCAGACAGACAGGCAGACAGAAAAACAGACAGACAGACAGACAGACAGGCAGACGGGCGGGCAGGCAGGCAGACAAACAGGCAGACAAGCAGACAGACAGGCAGGCAGACGGGCGGGCAGGCAGACAGGCAGACGGGCGGGCAGGCAGGCAGACAGACGGGTGGGCAGACAGACAGGCAGACAGACAGGTGGGCAGACAGACGAGCGCGCAGACAGACGGGCAGACAGACAGACAGGCAGGCAGTGTGACAGACAGGCAGACAGACAGACGGGCGGGCAGACAGACGGGCGGGCAGACAGACGGGCGGGCGGGCAGACAGACAGGCAGACAGACGGACAGGCAGACAGACAGGCAGGCAGACAGACATGACGAACGAACGAGCGAACTTTATTTTCAAGGGTTGAGAATCGGGCACACAGGCCCGTCTTACATTCTGCCCTAATGGCCTCACGCCATGCATACATTATTCATGCACACACTGTTTTAGCAGATAACAATGATAATAATAATAATTATAATCATAATCATAAGCATCATTAACAACATCTTTGTAACAATGTACTCTAAGTATGCCCACATTTCAAAACAAGTATAATACTAAATGTAATAAATCTTGGTGGAAATCAACAATATTCTCATGAAACTATTATCTTCTAATTGGGCATGTAGTCTGAAGTGAGATAATATTCAAAAAGCTTTCAAATGTATTTATAGGGGTTGTTGATATTTTTGATTGGTTGTTGAAGATTGTTCCACAGATGAGCTGCAGAGTACGCTAAGCTTGTTTTGTACAAGTCTTTTCTAGCTTTAGGGATATGTAATATGTTTAGGCTGATATGTCGCCCATTATACTTAAAGAATGGCAAAAGGTAACAGGGAGCATTTTTGGATAAGATTTTGTGAATGACTTTGGACTTATTGAAAATTAGTCGTTTATGGAAGGGGAGTAACTTAAGATCTTTATGTATACTGGAAATGTCTCGTCCATGATTATTACTGACTAAGCGTACAGCTCTTTTTTGAAGTACTTTAAGCCTTTTCATGACTGAACTTGGTCAGCCATCCCATATTGTGGAGCAGTAGTCTAGATGGGTCTGAATATGGGAGGTATAGAATATCCTTCTGGTGTTTTCATCCAGAAAGTGTTTAATTTTTGCAAGCTGATATACTTTTTTAGCTGTTTGTTTCACTAGAGCTTGCACCGAGAAGTGAAGGTTAAATTTCTATCAATAATTACGCCTAAAGCTTTGTGCTCAGTTACACATTCTACAGGGTTGTTACTAATGTAGAGCTGAAGCGTATTATGTGCAGATAAAGAATATAGTTTTTGTCTTGTTGATATTAACGTGCATTTTGTTTTACTAATGTTTATTTGCATGCGGTTTGCATTGCTCCAGGAAACCACATTGTTTAATTCCTGTTGTAAAGATCACTCTAAAATATCACACGTTTGAGCACTTGTATAGACTGTACAATCGTCTGCAAATAAGTCACACGGCGAGATTAGACACAACGGAAGATCATTTATATAAATAGCAAATAACAGAGGGCCAAGAATAGAGCCCTGGGGTACTCCAGTATTCACAGCAGTCTGCGACAGGGATTTATTATATGAAACTACCTGTTTCCTATTTAACATAAAGGATCTTAATAACGTGAATAGATCACAATTGAAGTTCATTATTTCTAGTTTTCTAATAAGGATAGTATGATCTATCATGTCAAAGGCCTTTCTAAAGTCTATAAACACGCACCCAGCTATTTTATCTTCGTTAATATTTTGATGCCAGTTTTCTATCATGTTTGTTAAGGCTGTATGGCACGAATACTTTAGTCGAAATCCTGATTGTTTATCAATTATGAGTTTTTTATTATCTAGATGTTGGAGTGTTATTTTGTGAATGTTTTCGTTACTCTAGTAGACTGCTCGACTAATTGTTGGAGATTATATGATGCAATTATATTTTCCCATGTTTTGTTTGATTTTTGAGCATCAATATTAAAATCTCTTAAAAGTATGATTTCATTGGCACTGGTAAACAATGGATCCATCATGGTGGTGAAGTTGTCATACCGCATAGCCCCAGCGCTAGGGTTTCGATAGACGTAACCAACCATGATGGGTTTGTGATTTTTTAGTTTAACTTCTAAAAATATACATTCTACTAAGTCCTGCCTACGGTGAACATTAAGGGAATTACTTATGTAGACCGCTATACCTGTCTCTTGTTTCACACGCGCGTCTCTTCTAAAAACTTTAAAGCCTTTAAAAAATACGTCTTCATCTGAGATGTTATCAGTTAATCGACTTTCGCTAAGGCCGAACATATGGAAATTTTGATTGAGAATAAGGGACAGTTCAGGCAGCTTCCTCATAAGATGGCAAATATTGAGATGACCTAACCTGAGACCGGCTTTGCTAAGCCAGTGTTCCTCTTTGTTAGACATTCCAAAGACAGGCAGACAGACAAACAGACAGACAGACAGACAGGCAGACAGACAGACAGACAGACAGACAGGCAGACAGACAGACAGACAGACAGACAGACAGACAGACAGACAGACAGACAGACAGACAGACAGACAGACAGACAGACAGACAGACAGACAGACAGGCAGACAGGCAGACAAACAGACAGGCAGACAGACAGGCAGGCAGGCAGACAGGCAGGCAGACAGGCAGGCAGACAGGCAGACATACAGACAGGCAGACAGACAGGCAGACAGGCGGACAGGCAGACGGGCAGACAGGCGGGCAGACAGGCGGGCAGACGGGTGGGCATGCAGACGGCCAGGCAGGCAGATGGGCGGGCGGGCAGGCAGACGGACAGGCAGGCAGACGGCCAGACAGGCAGGCAGACAGGTAAACAGACAGGCAGACGGGCGGGCAGGCAGACAGGCGGGCAGACAGACAGGCAGGCAGACGGCGGGCGGGCAGGCAGGCAGACGGGCGGGCAGGCAGACAGGCAGGTAGGCGGGCGGGCAGACGGGCGGGCAGACGGGCGGGCAGATGGGTGGGCAGACGGGCGGACAGACGGGCAGGCAGACGGGCGGGCAGACGGGCGGGTAGACAGGGCGGACAGGGCAGACAGACATCGGAAGATCGTGGGTTCAAGTCGGAACAGAGACAACCTTTTTCTCCAAAAAAATTGAATTTTCCTTTCAGGTAAGTCCATCCTCAAATGGGTACCTGGTAAATTTATGAGAAGTAGAAGCGGCCCACGTGTTGCTGACCACATAACCCACCCAGTACTGACCACATAACCCACCCAGTACTGACCACATCACCCACCCAGTACTGACCACATAACCCACCCAGTACTGATTGGTCTATAAAATTAGGTATAGCTCTATATTCATCGAGCGCCTGATAGGCGCGGAAAAGGGTCAACTGTAGACAACAATCAGCATTCATCTTTTGTGTTGGGCCTGTAGACAACAATCAGCTTTCATCTTTTGTGTTGTGCCTGTAGACAACAATCAGCTTTCATCTTTTGTGTTGGGCCTGTAGACAACAATCAGCTTTCATCTTTTGTGTTGGGCCTGTAGACAACAATCAGCTTTCATCTTTTGTGTTGGGCCTGTAGACAACAATCAGCTTTCATCTTTTGTGTTGGGCCTGTAGACAACAATCAGCTTTCATCTTTTGTGTTGGGCCTGTAGACAACAATCAGCTTTCATCTTTTGTGTTGGGCCTGTGCAATCTTTAATGTCTAATTAAATAAATGATCTTTTTTTGTGTGTGACCAATAGACAAACCTTCTTCTCAATCTTATCTTCCGTTTTATAGCAAACGGGTCACCACATAGTAGCTCCGCTTCTGTGCCAATAAAAAACACACTAGCATACGTATTAATTAAAAACAAACAAAGCGACTAAATCATAGGGCAGGCATAAGTAGTACCAACACAAAAAGTCAGAGATTCGAAATGCATACCATAGCAACCACTGTCACCAACACGAGAGGTCCATAGCAACCACTGTCACCAACACGAAAGGTACATAGCAACCACTGTCACCAACACGAAAGGTACATAGCAACCACTGTCACCAACACGAAAGGTTCATAGCAACCACTGTCACCAAAACGAAAGGTTCATAGCAACCACTGTCACCAACACGAAAGGTTCATAGCAACCACTGTCACCAACACGGAAGGTCCATAGCAACACAGACAAATGACGCACACAAGAGAAAACGCACAAAATTTATATGCACGGGAACATTGCAAATATAGGCAATATTTTTTAAGCAAAAGAAAGAAGAAGAAGAATTTCTTAATTATGCATTGCAAGAAATTTAATTTAACAAAATGTTTTAGGGCTTCAAGATTTGATGACAAGAGATTTGATGATCTTTGTGGTTTTTATAATGTAACTATGTCTTCTCATTTTCAGGTAAGATAGTGCCTTTCCTGGAGAACGCCTCCCATCACTGCTCTATACTCACTCTTTTGGCTATTGGGTTTGAGCGTTACTACGCTATCTGCCACCCTCTAAGAGAGACAGTTGGCTCACGCATTGTCTCCACGACCATTCTGCTGCCTGCAATCTGGTTCATTTCCTGTGGTATCTCAATACCGTTCGCCACCATTACCAACATCGAGGTCAGTCTTTGGTTAGACTTGCATTTTCCACAGCTATGTGTCTCTCTTGACATGTGCCTGCTTCACAGATCAATACCTAAGTCTCTCATTACATGTGCATGCTTCACAGATCAATACCTAAGTCTCTCATTACATGTGCATGCTTCACAGATCAATACCTAAGTCTCTCATTACATGTGCATGCTTCACAGATCAATACCTAAGTCTCTCATTACATGTGCATGCTTCACAGATCAATACCTAAGTCTCTCATTACATGTGCATGCTTCACAGATCAATACCTAAGTCTCTCATTACATGTGCATGCTTCACAGATCAATACCTAAGTCTCTCATTACATGTGCATGCTTCACAGATCAATACCTAAGTCTCTCATTACATGTGCATGCTTCACAGATCTATACCTAAGTCTCTCATTACATGTGCACGATCTACTAATCTATAAACTCATTCAATCATTCATTGTTTGGCACTTCGTCTTTCCAGACAATAGTGTTACATAGCGCTTTGAGGAATCATGGGACACCCAGCCCATGGCGATGGCGAGTGTGACTAGCAAGACCTGCCCGCGTTAAGAAAAGTCTTTCACAATGATAGCATGAGATTTCAGGATCGTTGTTGACATCATTTGTGTTTAGATTGTTTCTTCGTAGAAATTTAGCTCTACTTTTTCCTGCAATCATTTCTTCCTTCATTCTCATTCCCTTTCTTATGTGCCCACTAAACACAACATGGTCCATAGCATTTTGTTCCCTCAAGTCCACCTCAATACTGTATCATTCATGTCCCGCTTGCGCACGTCTTTACATCGCAGTAGAGGTCGCCCTTGTCATCTTCTACCAGTGTTTACTTCACCATGAAGGATGTCATTAGGGGCTCTGCCATTATCCATTTTTCAGGTGTGACCCAGCCACCTGAACCTTCATAGACAGAGTATGGAGAAGCCTGCTCTTTCCAGTACCCTAGCGTTTGTGATCTTGTCCTGCCATTTAATGCCAAGTATTCTTTTTAGTCGTCGCATGTGAAAGCTACTTAGACGTTTCTCCAGGTTCAGATAAGTTGACCAGCTTTTACTGCCCTAAAGAACAGTGCTGAGAACACAAGCCTGATAGTCAAGAGTCTTTGTTTTAATGATGATCCCAGGATCTTTTTGTCAACTGCTTATTGTTGTTTCTGCCTTACCTATCCTGATGTTGAATTCTTGCTCCAGCCATAGTTTGTTATTCACTGTGGAACCTAGTAGACCGGGTTTATTTATTAACACCTTGCACCATAATCGTTGTCTTCGTGTGGCTGATTGTTAATCCAAACTCACAGCATGCATCACAAAATGCAGAAAACACTGCACTCCGTTTCTGAATGGGTCGTGTTTGCTGAACCATCTGCAGACAACTACTCTCTGATAAGCTCCTTTATTATCCTGGTTTTAGCTTTTAGCTTACAAGCATTCTAAAGGCTTCTGTCAGATCGAGAATGGTTGACTATACCACCTTCTTGACCTCAAAAGGTAGATAAAAAAAAAAGTGAGAAGTATATTCCAAAGAGGGTAGGAGCCAGTACACATCCCTGCTTTAGTACGTTGTTGATTACACACTCCTCTATGTTACACTATTAAAGTTAGTTGTACCTTTCATACCTGTGTGGAACAATTCAATAATGCTTAGTAGAGTAGGTGGACATCAAATCTTTTTCATTGTGTTGAACAGAATCTATAAACTAAACAGCACAGAATGGCTCAGAAAGGTGGCAAGCTTCATGGACATCGAAATCGGACTAATGATGATCAAAAGAATGTGGACTCATGATGATTTGAAGAGTGTTGACCATTGATAATTTGAAGAGTGTGGACTCATGATGATTTAAAGAGTATCCGTTTATGATGATTTGAAGAGTGTGGACTAATAATGATTTGAAGAGTGTGGACTAATAATGATTTAAAGAGTGTGGACTAAGTAATAAGAAGAAACTCCACAGGGGAGCATGTACAGCAGTAGAAGTAACCTCTCGTCGACAAATGTTCCGGCCCACGAGCTCCTATACATTTTCAGAGAGTGGGTCCATCTTTCATGAGGTTCAGGGTTGGTTTCTCCTGCTGCACGTATTACCGGACTCATGATGATTTGAAGAGTGTGAATTTATGATGATTTGAAGAGTGTGGATTTATACTGATTTGAAGAGTGGATTTATGATGATTTGAAGAGTGTGGATTTATGATGATTTGAAGAGTGTGGATTTATACTGATTTGAAGAGTGTGGACTCATGATAATTTGAAAAGTGTGGACTAATGATGATTTGAAGATTAGGACTAATGATGATGTGAAGAGAGTTGACTAATGATATATTCAAGAATATCAACTAATTGTGAAACAAAGGTAGATCAAATATTGAAACATACAACATGAACTAAGATTGATTTCAAAAGTATGAACTAATTATGCGTAGCTGGATAAAAACAGGTTTTCTTTATTTATTTAAAAGTATGATTTTACAATCCATGCTTTATATATTTTTCTTGATAATTATATTATGTTCATAATTTTTATATGAATGTAAAGAAGCTAGCTTGAATTATAGCAAAGGTCACTTTTAATATGGCTGGTTTGCTCTGGAACAAATATAGCTTCGTACAACACTGAATCGCCGCTCGGATTCCAATAGACATTCTGTCGGTTTGTTTCTTCTATTCCTTCACATGTACTCAGTAGCAAGCATCGCTGTTCACTTCCACAAATATGTCACAATGTTCATTTTCTCGAAGTTAACCCCACTTAATTAAAACTACAGTAACAACATCACGACTGTCCTCTTCTAACTCTGGTATACAACTGACCACAAGTCAACCTCCGATTTTCCCTCGCTTACCGTTCGGCCGCAAGTATCTCATGCGGTCGTTTGTCCCACGGATGGCTCAAGCAAATAAGACAAGAATGCATGCCGGAGAACATTGGGCGAAGAGAGGGGTGGGTCTGAATACCAGCGGGAAATTCTGACCAATGATGGGTTATGATAACATTGGGCAGGGTGTGGAGAAAATGGACAGTGTGTGCTACGGAGCAACAGTTGACCAACAGTTGATTCACGACAATTTACGCCCAGGTGATCTGATTATCAATACAGGTGGTTCAGTGTTGAGAGGAAAGAGAAGTGCCTGGGAGTTCGCAGCGAAAGCCAATGGAAAATCTTTAGTGCAAGACAGCTAGCATATGACACCATAACATCTAGCATGAGAATGGAGGTGGAGGCGGTAACTGCAGCTTTCCAGTGGCTAATAAACAAAAGGCATACACATGTCGTGATTCTAACAGACTGAAAGCATGCTGAAAAAGGTGTGGACAGGGATGCTTCGATCTCTTCTGCCGGCGTGACGGGTAATGAACAGGCAGACAGACTGGCTGGATCCGCACCACTGGGTGGTGAACTGATATATGAAAAGGCAGATGTTGTCAAGGCCCTTTGGAAACAAGCAACGGGATTAGTACAGAAAGAAGATTATTATGACCTGGAGAGAATGGGGAACCTGAGTGTTACTAGAGGGTCTGGCCGGCTTACCTGACTCAGAGGAAAGGCAAAACGGATTTTTAACCAGATTGTGATCGGTACAATCAGTATTGGAACTCTGCGCTGGCTGATGAAGGTGAGGAAGGATTATGTATGGGAATGCTGTGATGTCAATTCTTGACTCAACTCAACAGATGTTCTGCTTGACTTGCTGTGAGCGGGGAGAACATACAAGCACCTAATCACAATAACACGCTTTATAAATTCAATACAAATGCAGTTTGTTAGATGAGTGTTTAGAAGTCATGAACTTCAGATGGGTCTGCGTGCCCAATTTGTGACCCTCTGAAAATCTAATTCGTTCCTTCGCTGTTTCTCTTAGACGTCATCGCGTCTCTAATCCATTTATTGCCAGTGTTTATGTCTTTTTAATTGTTCTCTCCTGACTTCTTCTCTGAATGTACTAGTATTATGTCATATTATTTGTCTTGTAACATTTGATACCAGTATGCAGAAATTGCTCCTATTTCTTCACCTTTCTGCAATCCATCCCATTTATGTTTCAGCTTGAATTATCTTGATGATGTCCTTTACTTGATGTTTCGTGAATGCTAACTTAATGTTTCATCAGTATTAGTGTGATCTCTACCCTGATTAACTGTTGGTGTGCTGTTAAATATTAACTTAACGTGTTTATAATCAACCAGATGTCCCATTACTACGACAACAGTATTGTGCCGACGTGTCAGACAAACATGAAAACTCATATGGCGCCTGCCTATGTCATCTTCATCACCGTGGCCCTCCTGGCAATCCCTCTTCTGATTCTGACCGTACTCTACTCCGCAGTCATCCGCACACTTCGCTCCAGCACGAACACAGAACTCAGCGGCAACATTCGCGGTAACCAAGGACACCAGAGCCTGAATCAAAGCAACGTGCGGAATGCCCGAGCTATGGCCAGCAGACGTCAAGTTGTCCGAATGATGGTTGGAATAATGATCCTATACTTCATCTGCTTGGTTCCCTTACGTTGCGTCCAACTATGGCTGGTGTTTGGACAGCCATCTGACCTGGAAAATCTAGGATTTGAAGGATTTTTAAACATCTTAAACTGTGTTCGCATTTTAGTTTTCATCAACAGTGCGGGAAATCCAATCATTTACGGATTATTAAGCTCAAATTTTAGATCAGCTTTCAGACAGCTTTTTATGAAAAGTCACTCCAATCAGGGAAGAAACAACACACACAACAGCAACTATTACAACCACAATTCGTACCAGAAGGGGCAACATGAAACTACAGTTGAGGCTACTCATCTCGACAGATTGTCCAGTATCAGGACTGCAACCATCGGAAAGAAAACTGACGAGACTGAGCGTTTCATGTGCTCATCTAAGACCGTAGGGCCTAATATAAGAAACATAAGTAACTTAACATGCTCTAGTAACTCTATTGATCGAGTTATGACTCCTGCGTTGAACCAGGCAGTTTCCACATGGAGAGAAAAAGATGCCACGACGAGCGGCTACATACATATGAAACCTATGATAGCCTACGTTTAATGAATTGAGATCCACTGACTGAAAAGGACAAACATACATACAAACATACAAACATACATACATACATACATACATACATACATACATACATACATACATACATACATACATACATACATACATACATACATACATACATACATACATACATACATACATACATACATAAATACATACATACATACATACATACATACATACATGCACACATGCATACATGCATACATGCATACATGCATACATGCATACATGCATACATGTATACATGCATACATGCATACATGCATACATACATACATACATACATACATACATACATACATACATACATACATACATACATACATACATACATACATACATACATACATACATACATACATACATACATACATACATACATACATACATACATACATACATACATACATACATACATACATACATACATACATACATACATACATACATACATACATACATACATACATACATACATACATACATACATACATACATACATACATACATACATACATACATACATACATACATACATACATACATACATACATACATACATACATACATACATACATGCATACATACATACATACATACATACATGCATGCATGCATGCATGCATGCATGCATGCATACATACATACATACATACATACATACATACATACATACATACATACATACATACATACATACACACACACACACACACACACACACACACACACACACACACACACACACACACACACACACACACACACACACACACACACACACACATACATACATACATACATACATACATACATACACACACACACACACACACACACACACACACACATACATACATACATACATACATACATACATACATACATACATACATACATACATACATACATACATACATACATACATACATACATACATACATACATACATACATACATACATACATACATACATACATACATACATACATACATACATACATACATACATACATACATACATACATACATACATACATACATACATACATACATACATACATACATACATACATACATACATACATACATACATACATACATACATACATACATACATACATACATACATACATACATACATACATACATACATACATACATACATACATACATACATACATACATACATACATACATACATACATACATACATACATATATACACACATATATACATACAGACATACATATATACATACATATAGGTAACGCATATACCAGTGGCGAGGTGTAATCAGTCTGCATGTGTGTGCTTTAGCAGTTAAGGATTACTCTCGACAACGTATCTGGTTATATTTTTCTTCTCGACGCTTCACTGCTGAGAGTATGGATGTGCATTTAGCATCGTCGTACTAGTAACAGGTAGCTTTCTGCACGCGGGGTATAAGCATTCAGCGAGCATTGTTTAGTTTTTGTTTGTTTTTTTTTTTTTTTTTTTTTTTTTTCATCTTCCAGGTGTAAACCTTGTGGTAATTTTTGTAATATATAGTAAACATTAATAATGAACAGTAAAATAGTACATTTTATTCTGGCCAACAAAAAAAAAATTAGTCAATGATTACTGTCATGACAAGCACGCCTTGCTACTGGGATATACTCAGACAAAGAACAAACTGTAAAACTCAGTGTTTTAGGAATGCCTGTATCTTGGAGAACACAGGAAAGACATACCCTCACTCAAAAAAACCACTTAGTCATGTCTTAGCCACACAGGTCTGCAATTATAGCTCAACAGTATTTCAGGCGGTCGTAACCATTAGCTTAAAATATGTCTTTCGACGTCGGAGTACATCTGACTAAGAAGCACGCAACCAACAATCTGTGTACAAATATGTCAGATCTGTAAAACGTATGTGCACGCAATACTCAGATTCTGGGCAAGATTAAAGTTCGGAGGTGGACGTACAACCAGAACCTTTTTGATGGTGTTTACGTGGAGAAAGAAGATAACTTGGTTCTTTCGTAATATCCTACCCCAGATGATGTCACAGGACAGTCCAATATTTTAGAGGGGGTAAAAAAGACCACAAAACAACTAGAACTGACACTAACCCCGATCCACCTAGTCCAACAAGGAAGTGCAGCTTAGGTCCCACAACTGAATGTAGCCTAGGTCCCACAATTGAGTGCAGCCTAGGTCCCACAACTGAGTGCAGCCTAGGTCCCACAACTGAGTGCAGCCTAGGTCCCACAACTGAGTGCAGCCTAGGTCCCACAACTGAGTGCAGCCTAGTTCCTACAACTGAGTGCAGCCTAGGTCCCACAACTGAGTGCAGCCTAGGTCCTACAACTGAATGCAGCCTAGGTCCCAGGACTGCTCACAGCAGTCTGAAATATTAAACTGTCCCGTCACCTGTGGATTTCTCCTGTTTGGGGTAGGATATTAGGCAAGCACCAATAACTTCAGTGGAGGTTGAACGAGGTATCTTGGATTAGCTGTGTCGATTCGTTACTCTAGGGTGCAGCTCTTGAATTTGGCTTTGGTGAACTGGAAGACAGAAGCTGGAGCAGACAAGAAGACGGGTTCTGGAAAGAGGCATGGTATTTTGAGCAGAAAAGAAACAAACGACATAGTTTGTCGTTGTAGAAATCTATAGCCTATATGAATGATAAGCTTTATGTATTAATAAGCCAAGCATAGACCGTACTTCTCTTCACTAGACACACATAGACGAGCACATGTCTTCACTAGCCAAACATAGACGAGCACATGTCTTTACTAGCCACACATAGACGAGCACATGTATTTACTAGCCACACATAGACGAGCACATGTCTTCACTAGCCAAACATAGACGAGCACATGTCTTCACTAGCCATACATAGACGAGCACATGTCTTCACTAGCCAAACATAGACGAGCACATGTCTTTACTAACCAAACATAGACGAGCACATGTCTTCACTAGCCAAACATAGACGAGCACATGTCTTTACTAGCCACACATAGACGAGCACATGTCTTCACTAGCCAAACATAGACGAGCACATGTCTTCACTAGCCAAACATAGACGAGCACATGTCTTCACTAGCCAAACATAGACGAGCACATGTCTTCACTAGCCACACATAGACGAGTACATGTCTTTACTAGCCAAACATAGACGAGCACATGTCTTCACTAGCCACAAATAGACGAGCACATGTCTTCACTAGCCAAACATAGACGAGCACATGTCTTCACTGGCCAAACATAGACGAGCACATGTCTTCACTACCCAAACTTAGACGAGCACATGTCTTTACTAGCCGCACATAGACGAGCACGTGTATTCACTAGTTAAACATAGACGAGCACGTGTATTCACTAGCCAAACATTTCAGTATTGCAGAAAACCCTAACCCACTTTGACGTGGCGACAGTACTAGCCATGCGACTCTAGGTACAGCACTATCCATGCGACTCTGGGTACAGCTTGAGCCATGTGACTCTGGGTACAGCTTGAGCCATGTGACTCTGGATACAGATTGAGCCATGCGACTCTGGATATAGCACTAACCATGTGGCTCCGCGTACAGCTTGAGCCATGCGACTCTGGGTACAGTTTGAGCCATGCGACTCTGGGTACAGCTTGAGCCATGCGACTCTGGGTACAGCTTGAGCCATGCGACTCTGGGTACAGCTTGAGCCATGCGACTCTGGGTACAGCACTAACCATGTGGCTCTGGGTACATAACTAACCATGTGGCTCTGGGTACATCACTAACCACGTGGCTCTGGGTACAGCACTAACCACGTGGCACTGGGTACAGCACTAATCACGTGGCTCTGGGTACAGCACTAACCATGTGGCTCTGGGTACAGCACTAACCATGTGGCTCTGGGTACAGCACTAACCATGTGGCTCTGGGTACAGCACTAACCATGTGGCTCTGGGTACAGCACTAACCATGTGGATCTTGGTACAGCACTAATGATGCGTTTCTGAGTACAGCACTAACCATGAAGCTCTGAATCCTCGCGTTGAACGACAGCCCTGTGAACACCGTAAATAGTACATAAACAGACAGTAGCGACAGCGGCAGTCATTTCTCTATCTCCTACGGCTTAGTCATAAACACACAGAAGGCTTCTCTTGATTAGGAGACGATATCTATTAACATAAAATAATAACACAGAGCAGCTACTGGCCCAAGCAGATCAGCGAAAGCTCAAGGTCAGTACAGACTTGGAAACACAAATGTGACAGCTTGAAGGCGAAACATTTGTGATTTTTTTCTTTCTTTTTATGTCTCAAGTGATCTGAGGCGCAACGATTGGGCCGGACAAAACAAAGGTCCAATTCTCAAACTGTAATTCATTGTGGAAAACCGGCACTACGAGAGACTTTAAATAAAAACTTTAAAAGTGTGAGATAAATTACAATAACCATATCATTGTCTTTCAACTGTCAATAATGTTGTTGCGGTTGTCGTCGAAAGTGTTATTCCCTCCTGGTATTTTAGCCACAGCCGTCTTTGCAGGGTCATTAAAAGACAGCCTTCTACCAAAGGAGGATCCGGGTGGCTCAGTTTGATTTCTTTTACTATGTTTTTATGTTGTCAACTTTAGGTTTGGAACATAAAGTATCGACAATTCTTGTTTCTGGAGATCATCAGAAAACAGATGCCTTTCCCGGATTTGATGAAAGCCTTTATCTATTGACAATAGCAGCCTATCACTTTGTCAACTGTTGATTGTAACTCTTTGAGCTGTTTCATTTGTTGCCCCTACCCCTCTGCTGTAAATAGGTTAGAACTGTATCTACGGATTTCAATATCAATATCATACCCATTCAACAGCAGGTGCTTCAAGTTCTGCAATCTTGTTCACATGCATAGTAAAGAGCACTGCTGAAATCATCGTTTTATGTGGTAGTCTCGGGGAGGTACAACATTGCTCTGAGGCCCACATGCCCAGATAAAGGGCAATCAC